TAATTAACTAACATGCCTTATTCCGACTTATCTCCTCTCTTTCTTTGGCATTCTTAGGGTTAGGTGCGAAAAATACTCTTAAAATATACTTCAAGTACATATCACAACCCTCACGTGAAAAAAAAAACATCCCTAAAATTTCTAACAAATTTAAATCCTAAATTGACTAAATTACCCTCATTGAACCATTTTATAAAATATATAAAAGTAAATAATTTTGTAAAATGACCGAAAATAACATTATTGAAAGACGCCCCTCAAGTGCAAAAAACACCTCTAAAGTTTCAAATTGGTTCAAAAATTTAAACATAAGTTGACTAAATTACTATTACTGAACCATTTTATAACATAAATAAAAATAATAATTTTTTTAAAATGACCGAAAATGATACTATTGGAGGACGCCGACAATGGACAAGTAAAGATAAAAATAGAAAATAAAAATAAAAATAAAAGTATAAATAAAATAAAAAATAATAAAAAATAAAAAACGAAAATAAAGTGCAAACTAAATAAAGCAAATTTGTTCCAAACTCCGAAAAATATATTGGAATTTTTTTCCCTTTTGTTTTTTTTCTTGTTTAACAACGTTGGTACAAACAAAAATAATAATAATAATAATAATAAAAACTGAAATCTCAAAAAATTCAAAATTTTATTTTACAAATTCTTTAAGTTTCAAAAAATAATTTCAAAAAAAATAAATAAATAAGACTAGTAGAATATATAATCCCTTGGGCATTTTTGAAGAAGTAAAAAGATAAAACGGGTATTGCAATCCTAAATTATGTCAGATATTTTATTGAGGAATATCTTTGCACAATGTGAAAAGATTAGAAGTGTTTTTTGTACACTTTTTTAAATAAGGATAAAAGTACCATGCAAGGTATTAGATAAAATACTTGAGTGTTTTATGCAGTTATCCCAACTGCCAGCATTAGATCGCAGAGAAGGGTAATGATCAGGTGTTATGTTACAATAAACAGATATATATATATATATATACAGTAGTGTTCAATTGCTCACTGGAATAAGAAATTATATGTTCATTGGAATAAGAAATTATATGCTCACTTTTAATTGTAGCCTTAGAATCTAATCCTATGGCAATTAGTTAATTGACTTTTATTTTCTTCATTTTAAGAAACTTATATTTTTTTCCATACCATTAAATATCGTTAAAGAAAAATGATAGAATTAGACAATTTATTAAAAGAAACAAAAATAAAATAATTTGGCTAAAGAAAAATGACAGAATTAGACAATTTATTAAAGAAAACAAAAATAAAATAATTTGGCTACTTTTTTGCCTAGGTTTCTCTTTCCAATAAAAAAATACTTCTCTATCACTGCCGATTGTTTATTCAATTCAACAAATTTGCAAGCAGCAACATAAACCAAATAAAATTAATCAAAAGAGATAAATAAAATGGACATTAAATAAAGATTTCTTGAAAAGTATTGATTATAATCAAAACTCAAATTTCAAGATTGATCCATGTTTTATACTCAGCTTAATAAAATATTTTAAATTCGTTTAGCAACTAATTTAGAATTAAGGGACTACAATTGGTTTCATAAATTTTTTAGAAAGATTCTATAAAACAACTCTTAATATATTATTATATATCCATCTAAATGTTTTCAGTATTTTTTAATTTTTTTATTTTTTTGGTAAATTAAATGTTCAAAGTGTTGATCGGTAAAAACATGCCAAAATATGTATAATATCATTGCAAATCCTAAGTTTTTCTCATAATTTATCAATAGAATTGATAAAGTGTGGAAAAAAAAAACTAAAAATAATGACTTTTAGTTTTAAATTAATTTTACTTCGTCTCAGCTTGCGAATTTGGCAAAAAGTAGCCAATTTATTTTATTTTTTGTTTCCTTTAATAAATTGTTCAATTCTGTCATTTTTCATTAAAAATATTTAATGATATGAAAAGAAAATGTAAGTTTTTTAAAAGAAAGAAAATAAAAGTCAATTAACTAGTTGCCACTACGATTAGATTATAAGGCTACAATTAAAAGTGAGTATATAATTTTTTGCTTCCAAGAAACAATTGAACACTACTGTGTGTGTATATATTTATATATACACAAACCTTAGTGAAAGTATGTGTGTGAGTACTCACTCAGAAAATATATATATATAATTACATATGTACAAGATATATAGATATTTGTAAATTGAACTGTAAAGAACACACCTATCTTCACTGTGAACTTGTTATCAATATGATTGATCACAGATAAGCTGAATTTAATGTATTTAGTCCACCCACATGGCAAAGTTTCTGAATCCGCAACATCTAAATAGATCCCCAAATGGTCCGAATTCTTGCTCCCCTTTGGAAATACAAGCACCCGCCTTTTTCACGGAATGCAGAATATAAATCTTAAACATCAATCATAAGATCAAAATCAAAATCAAAATCTAGAAAGAGGGTAGAGATCAAAATTACCATTTGTGTCCTCCAACATAGAAACTTTCAGAGTATAACTTCTGTGTGTCCAGCGTCGAAAAGTTGTCAATCTTCCATGTGAAGCGTGCTGATGATGGATCATCAACTGTATTAGCAGTTTTTGCTGGTGCCACAAACAATGATTTTGGAAGAACAATAAAAAGAATCAAAACCCAGCAATTGAAATCAATTCTACTACACAAAGACACATATACAAACACATAGTCTGCGTGACTTTGGGTGAACGGGTTCTATTGAAACTGAAATTAAACCCAAAATTTGAGAACTAGATTAGAGGCAATACCTTCCATGGGGCGAGGGATTGTGTTAGAATCAGAGAAAATTTACTTGAACATGTTGGAATCAAGAGGGACAAGATAGACCTCCTAAAATGCTTTACCCTTTTTTTCTTTAGTTTTTCCGTACAAAGAAAATTCTAACCTTTTTTTTTTTTTTGTGAAAAAGTTTTTTTTTTTTTTTTTTTTTGGTTAAGAAAAAGTTGATACTAGAAAAAAACGAAGGGACACTGTTTAGAGTCCAGTAGTTCAAACTTCAAACCAGTACTGGAACCAATTCTTTTTTAAATCATTCATATTAAACGCCGAGTGCATTTCACTTACAAAATTCATAATTGTAATTGTAAAAAAAAAAAAACATATTAGATCTTCTGAGAGATAAAATAAACCATCACTTACTAGATTTACGCCCATTTTTTTCCTAATATTTTGGTATTAAGGATTAGGACATGAATCATTTGAAATTGATTCATTTAAAACTTATTTGCTTATTTAGTAATAATGAATCTAGTACTAACTTGATTTTTGAGGTTGGAATCGATTCCAAATATTATTAGGTTTGACCGGTGATCACACTAATGACTAAATTGTAGTCTCGTACATGTTCATAAATATAGACCCATGAACATCATCACGAGTATAGGATTGTGTAGAGTTGATTGAATAAGTTGATGAATATAATATTGAACACAAGCTCAAATTAAATTTAAATGAATTTTTATGAAAATTTCTTTTTTAAAAAATAAAAAAAAATCTAGGTAAGATTTACTCCCTTTATTGTTTATATTTTGATATCAAAGGTTAGGGCTACAAATAAACTAAACAGTTTATGAACCATTCTGAATCGACTCATTTAAAAGTTGGTATATACTTATTCATAAACGAGCTGAGTTTTAACTCGATTTTCGAACTCATCTAGTAAGCAAATTGATACAGAATATTATTTGGCTCGGTTTGTGATCGCATTGATCACTAAGCTGTAGGCTCACTGTGTTCTTGAATATGGAGCCATAAAAAGCTTCACCAATATATAAGATTGTATAGGGTGGAATAAGATCATCAATATAAGCTCATGTATAACTTCATGAACAAACAAAAACAATCTTGAAACGAGCTCAAATTGAATTTAAGCCAAAAAATTTAAATAATAATAAGCTGAACCCGTGCTCAACTTTTTCAACTCGTCAAGAGATTCGAATAGCAGGACTTAAAAAGTACACTCACACATCCTTTTTTGGATACTTGAAGTCTTGAACCACGGTTTTACTTTAGAAAATGAGAAAGTACCTAATATCTATGGTGTTATTTTTACATTTATGATGTAATGCACTATTAAATTTATGATGTAATTAATCAAAAACTCATATTACAATAATGTTACTTTAGACTTAGATGGTTGGAGATATCTTACTCCAATCTATAAATTTGGCATTCATAGAAAGTTCACATAAAAATAAAAATAAAAAAGAGTGAAAAAAAATAAAAATAAAGAGTTTATGTGGCAGGCCCATTTATGGGAAATAAAGACAAAAATAATAATGATTATATAACTATCCGATAATGTAATCATACGCAGTTTCACATTATTTGTGAATTTTGGATACTTAGAGCTGTCACTTTGACATCCACCTGTTAATTTAATTTTTAAATAATTTTTAAAATGAAATTATTGTTTATTACGGACTTTATAATTAAGAAAAAAAAATTTATTTTCCCTCCAAAACCTGATCAAATAGAGAGGTATTGTAGGGGTGGGGTACCATCCCACGGTCCCGCCCCGCGTGCTTGGGTGAGCTATAAAAAATATAAGAAAAATATTTAGAATTATACAATAATGTTTATTCGCGAGCCTTATAAATATTTGAAAGGAAGAAAAATAAAAGTATTGTGAGGTCTTCTAAATGACTAATTATATAACTATATAAGTTACAAAAATAATAATCTTGTTTAATTTAAACTTTGAAAGATTTTGATTAGTTAAACATTTTGGGCTCAGGATGGCCCTGTTCTCAAACATGATAGAAATTCTTTTTATTTACAGAAGACGAAGGCTTCCTTCATCTATGAAACGAATTCCATCACATAATTCCGTAATTCAAAGTTCAAAACGGGCAAGCTGCTTCTGCTTACAGTAAGCCAAGTATTAATTCTGACTGTTAAAAGGCTTACCTGAAGAAACCAACCCCATGAAAAGGCTTGATATAGATCAATAACAGAACCAAATAAAAAAATAAAATGAAAAGAAGTGCAATTTAAAGTAGAATTGAAGGACTAAAAGTATAAGAATATTGGCGACAACAGACCATAAATAAGTTAAAATATCCAAAAATATGAAATTTAAGGTAGAATGTAACCGGCCCATAGAGAGAAATATAACAGTAGACCAACAAAAGTTTTTCATCTTGCAAATAAAAAGAGATTAATTGTTTGGTATCATGAATGTGTCTCTAAGCTCAGTCCACATTTGCTGGACCAATGATAGAGAGCTCTCTGCGGTCTGAAGGGTTGAGATCTCAAGAACAGAGGATCTAGACTGTTCTAGATTAACCATCTTCCCATGCAGCTGCTTGATCGCTTTCTCAGCACTTTTCTTCTTCTCGGAGATCTTTGCCAGTTCAGCCTGCAGCCGCTCAACCTCTTGTTGAAGCTTTCCCTCCTCCGAGATCAAGTCCTTGTGAATAGCCCTCTGCATTTGGAACGCGAATGCATTAACCTTGACTTGCTCGACCAAACACTTCTTTGTTCCTCGCTTTTCTGCTATTTTTTCCTCAACCTCCTTAAAAGAATGGTTGGAATTCAAAGTTTCGAGAACTGCTGGAAACTCAACCTTAAGGGTGTTCAACCATGCAAGCTGGACTGGAGTGAGATCACAGCAGTACTCTGACAAGACACAGATGGATTCTGTAATGTATGCGGCAAAATCAGGAATTTCTGATAGGTCCCGAGATAGCATCTTTATAAAGAGTTTTTTTTGGCTTCATCAACAGTTGATTGAGGAATGGAGGCGACGACTGATCCTTCGGTAGTGGAGTCAAAAGGTGCATCAGTCTCTACTGCAGACACCAACTTGGAGGTATAGGCATCCATGTCATCAAATGAAGATGACTCAAGAGGAGCATCCATTGGAGTAGTCCTCCTCGGCCCCTGAACTTACTACAAAGATTACAAAGAAAATTTCTTTTTAGAAACTGACTCGCAGGTCAAAAAGTTATTTCTCTCAAAGATAAAAAACAAAGCATTGTTGATTGAAATCCGATAAAAGCTATTGACAGGATATTGTGCCTGAGAGGAATTAACCATTGATTCCTTTTCAACAATTGGAGTGGTTGGTGGGACCGAAGTCTTGATCACTTCGGTGTCTGATTCACAGGCAGTAGGAGGGACCAAGGTATTAGTCTGAGGCAAGATCGTATGGGTACCAGAAGCAATCTGTCTTGTGCCTTTGGCCAAGGCAGTCTTCCCCTCCTCAACCTTAAGTTCATCTGAACTGAAGCCAGGAAAATCAACTTCAACTACACATGTATCATTCACAAGATAACCCCTACCAGCGTCGGACAGACCACTAAGAAGCATGAATGAAGTGAAACCCCAATCACTTTCTTTTGCACAGAACTGGTGTTGAGCGTCTGCATAATGAAAACAGTCACAACTATCACCAAATATAACACGGAAGGTCAAAGGCTGTAGGCAACAACTAGAACTACAGTGGACCTCAACACCAAGACACGCCAGTTTACTAAGACGCATGAATGATGGGAATCCCCAACCACTTTCTTGTGCACGGAACTGGTGTTGAACGTCTGCATAATGAAAGTATATCATATCTCGCCATCCGGTGACTACAGTCAATGCAACAAAATCATTTTTGTCTCCAATTTATTTACATTTGGGCAAATTCTAGCCTGAACATTATAAAATTAAGGATATATTATATTAGGATTTTTACATATAAATGGAGTTAGGGAGACATATTTACTCATGGATGGAGTCAAAGTCTTATATTTTCACAAAAATGAGTTTGACCTAAATGATGACATAGCAAATGAAGTTTTACTGTTTAAAATTTTTGTTGCCTAAAATGCCCTTCTCTCTATTCCAATACATTTACCTTATTACCCTTGTTTAGAAAACATGGTACCTGGAGGCCAAAAAGTGTTATCTTCAGTTCAAAAACGTGGTACCTTTATAACAAAAGTGGTACCTTCGTAAAAGGAACTTATTTTTACAATTAAAAATGGTATTAAACCCCACACCGCCAATTAAGTTGCACATTAGATTCATAAACAGCTCCATTAGTGCCATAAATAACGCAATATTCTCCAAGCTAGCTAAGCGAGTGTTTACGAAACATGGTACCTGGAGGCCAAAAAGTGATACATTCAGTTCAAAAATGTGGTACCTATGGGAAAAAAGTGGTACCTTCGCAAAATGGATTTATTTTTGCAATTGAAGTATTAAACCCCACACCGCTAATTAGGTTGCACATTACATTCACAAATAAATCCATTAGTGCCATAAAGAGTACAAACTATATTCCAATCTAGCTGACTTGAGGGAATGAATAGTACAAAATATACTCCAAGATCACTTGGAACATTGTTTATCTGCTATTTTTATTTTTATTTATTTTTTATTTTTTATTCTACAATATATCGTAAACACAATTATTCTCTACTTGATAGGTAAAGAAGCTGCTTTTAAGCCAATTCCATAATGGAATAGTACTTGCAACCCAAATTATCCTTCAGGAGGTGCGCTTGGTTCTTACAAAATAGGAACTTACCTCCGCAAATTAATGTAAGAGCTGTCGAAATTAGGGTTAGGGCTTTAAGCTTGTAAGGAGTAAGATCAAACAATGGTGAAACCTCGCAAAAAGTTCTCTTTACCTGATAAGTGCCCTCAGTTCTTCAAAGTTTTTCTCCCGGAACTAAATCCGTTTATTAATTAAAAAATTCATCAATGTTAATCAATGCCTATCACTATAACAAAAAAATTATTCTACAATTAAAAAATTCAGCATTAAATGCATAAGATGAGGCATTCCAAAATTTCTAGAATGGGGCATTTCAAAATTTCTAGACTGGGGCATTCCAAAATTTCAATGACACATCAGTATAATTATAATTGTATGTAAAGAAAAATATAATTCTAGACTGGGGCATTCCAGAATCTCAATAACACATTAATCTCTTTAAGTTATAATGTATAAGATGTATGTTTGAATTCATGATAATCATTCTATTCTCATCATACAATTAATATATCTATATATATATATATATAAGTAGCATCCTACAATTAATTAGGACCCAGATCTATATCAAATTTCTAAATGGTTTTCATGTATAAGAGGTCTAAAGAAAAAATTGTCTCTCTATTATCATTGAAAAATTCTAAAGATTTAATTATGACCCAGATCCATATCAAACATGATCTTTGGATACCATAATTTTTTTAACAATTGTATTATTGAAATAGTTATTCAAAAGTCCCAAACGGCCTTGTCGATTAAAATGGTGAGAAAAAAAAAAAAAATCTACCATACCAACTATTTAGATGTAGTATATGATAATTAAGAAATATTTGTGTTATTTATGGCGCTAATGGAGCTGTTTATGGATCTAATGTGCAACTTAATTAGCGGTGTGGAGTTTAATACCATTTTCAATTGTAAAAATAAGTTCTTTTTACGAAGGTACCACTTTTGTTCTAAAGGTACCACATTTTTGAATTGAATGTACTACTTTTTGGCCTCCAGGTATCATGTTTTCTAAACACTCGCTTAGCTAGCTTGGAGAATATTTTGTGCTATTCATAGCGCTAATGGAGCTGTTTATGGATGTAATATGCAACTTAATTGGTGGTGTGGGGTTTAATGCCATTTTCAATTGTAAAAATAAGTCCCTTTTACGAAGGTACCACTTTTGTTCTAAAGGTACCATGTTTTTGAACTGAAGGTACCACTTTTTAGCATCCAGGTACCATGTTTTCTAAACAGAGGTAATAAGGTAAATGAATTGGAATAGGGAGAAGGACATTTTAGGTAACAAAAATTTTAAACAGTAAAACTTTATGTGCCATGTCATCATTTAGGTCAAACTCATTTTTGTGAAAATATAAGACTTTGACTCTATCTATGAGTAAATATGGCTCCCTAACTCCATATATTTATATGTAAAAATCCCTATTATATTTCCATGCGTTTGCACTTCATTAGAGACAAATTATGCATTAACCATATAAATTATAAAAGACTTGTGAGTAAGGCGGCATGATTGAGATTCTTGCAATCTATCTGAGTGGCCGTTAATTAACTAACGATACCTTATTACAACTTATATCCTCTCCTTCTTTGGCATCCTTAAGGAAGTGCAAAAAACACTCCGAAAGTATGCTTACAATAGTGAAAAAAACATCCTTAAAGTTTTAATTTGGTGCAAATAGATTCCTCTGACAAATTTAAATCATAAGTTGATTAAATTACCACTACTGAACCATTTTATAAAATATATAAAAATAAATAATTTTGTAAAATAACTGAAAATGATCGACACCCCACAATGAAAAAAACACCTCTAAAATTTCAATTAAATTTCAATTTGGTGAAAATAGGTCCGACAAATTTAAACAACCTAAGTTAACTAAATTAATCTTACTGAACTATTTTATAAAATATATAAAAATAAAAATTTTACAAAATGACAAAAAATAACACTACTGAAGGACCCCAACATCAGTGTGCACTCGTTTTTGGAGTTTGGAGTAGATTTGCTTTAAGTTCAAAAAATAAAAATAAAAAAGTTTATATATATATATATATATATATATATTAAGTAATGTGCACATAACACTCATATACCATAAGATTAGTAAAATATATAACCTGACCTTGGACATTTTCAGAAAAGTAAAAGGGCAAAACGAGTATTACAACACATTGAGGAGTATTTTTGTACAATGTGAAAAAATTATGAGTGTATTTTGTCAAATAAGGATAAAAGTGTTATGCTTATAGTGTTTTCTGCCGATGTCCATCGGCAGCCTTGCTTTTTAAAGAAGGTTTGAGTATCTTTTGGGCCTTGCACCACTAGCAAGGGGGAGGATTCTTTGGAATCAGAGTGAGCTGATAGGACGGCCAAAATTAGAACAATTGAGAACTTAGTCAGCATTAGATCGCAGAGAAGGGTGATGATCAGGTGTTATGTTACAGTAAGCACATCTATTTCGTAATTACATATGTACAAGATATATAGATATTTGTAAATTAAACTGTAAAGAACACACCTTTCTTCACTGTGAACGTCTTATAAATTTGATTGATCACAGATAAGCTGAATTTTATGTCTCTACTCCACCCATATGGCAAAGTTGCTGAATCCGCAACATCTAGATAAATCGCAAAATGGTCTGCCTTCCCGTTTCCCTTTGGAAACATAAGCACCCGCCTTTTTCACACAACGCAGAAAATAAATCTTAAACATCAATCATAAGATCAAAATCTAAATCTAGAAAGAGGGTAGAGATCAAAATTACCATTTGTATCCTCCAACATAGAAACTTTCAGAGTATACCCTATTGGTATTCAGCCTTGTAAAGTTCTCAATCGTCCATGTTAACCATGCTGTATTATCAGGTTTTGCTGATGCAACAAGCAATGATTTTAGAAGAACAATAAAGTATTAAAAGGACAAAAAATAAAAACCCTACAATGGAATCAAATGATTCAAATCTACTACACACTGACACAGATACAAACACATAATCTACATGACTTTCCCTGAATTAGTTAAATTGAAACTGAACTGAAACTAAAATTTAAAAATTAGATTAAAGGTAATACCTTCCATGGGGTGAGGGCTGATTGTGTTAGAATGAGAATGAGAAAATTTGAGACTTCAACACCGAAGTACAGTGGGTTGGAATCCAGGGGGTCCTAAATATTATGGAAAAAAGCTTCTTTGTTTTTTTGAAAACGTAAATGTTTTTTTAATGCTTCAACTTCTTTTTTCTTTTCTTTTTTTTAAAGTTAACGCTTTACCCCCTTTCCTTTCCCCTCTTTTTTTTTTTTTTTTTTTTTTTTTGGTCTGAAGGTTAATGCTTTACCTTTTTTTTCAGTTAAAGTTTACCTTTTGCATACAAAGAAAGTCCTAACTTTTTACTGTGGTCGCCGCCCTCTGCTTTTTAAAGGATTACACCCCAAGTCACATAAATTGGGTGCGAGACCGGGAGCACGGGCGAAAAAGTCGCAAAAATTTAAATCAAGTGAAAGGAAAGGAAAGTGAGAGAGCGTGAGAGCAACACCAATTTAAAAAAAATTATGTGACTTAGATTATACCCAATATATATCTTGCCTCCACCACATGTAAAACACACAAATTCAGACACGTAAAGTTCTCAATCGCCCATGTTAACCGCGCTGTATTAGCAGTTTTTGCTGATACAACAAACAACGATTTTAGAACAACAATAAAAAGAAATCAAAACCCAGCAATTGAATCAATTCTACTCCACACAGACACATATACAAACACATAATCTACATGACCTTGCGTGAATTAGTTCTATTGAAAATTTGAAAACTATATCAAAGACAATACCTACCATGGATTATGTTAGAATTACTTGAATATGTTGGACTGTAGAGGGTTAAGTTAAAGTGCTAAAATACTATTGTCCTTTTTTCGGAAGTTGCAAATGTTTAGTTTTTCCATACAAAGAAAATCTTTGGGAAAGATGATGGGGTACAAGAAAAGCCAAGGGACGCCGTTTAGAGTCCAGAAGTTCAAACCACTACCGGAATCAAATCGTTTTGAAAATTGGAATAGACGTTTTGAATCAAAGATAATAAATATCATTTCATATTAATTGTGGAGAGCGCACTATAAATTTTTGGGTAAAGTGCATTAAACCCCCTTGAACTATTGGTCATTTACAAGAAACTCCCTTGAACTACAAAAAATCTCCCTGAACTATGATTTTGTTGCAATTTACCCCCTGAACTATTAGTCATTTGTAAGAAACCCCCTTGAACTACAAAAAACCCCCCTGAACTATGATTTTGTTGCAATTTACCCCCTTAAACTATGATTTTGTTGCAATTTACCCCCTTGACATCAGCTTCCGGCACCGAAAATTTTGAAAGACCAATTTACCCTTATAATACACTGCGTCGTTTTAACTTATACACTTTTTACTTTTTTTTTTCTGCCAAAAGATGTTTTTCACCCAACACAACCCAAAACTGAAAGCTGGAGAGAGAGAGAAGAGAAAATCCGAGGTTGGCGGGATGGCTCGGTCTCGGATGATGGTGGCTTGTGCGCGGAAGACTCGGTTGTGATGAGAGCTCGGTTGACTCGGCCGTGAACTGTGGGGCTCGGCAGTGAACTGTGGACGGCTGTATGCTCGAAACACGGACGGCAGTGTGCTCGGCTATGGAGATGGCAGAATGGGCCGGCGAGATTGGAATGGATAGTGGAATGGACCGGCAAGCAAGGTGAGCTGAATGGCGGGCAAAGCGGTGACGGCGATGGGCTGACGCAACGGTGCAAAGAAGTGCGATATATATGGCCGACGGATCTGGCGGGTGGTGCAACGGCTATGATGGAGCTATGACAGGAGACGCACCGATCCCAGCAACAAATTCCTCTGCTTCATTGTCTCTTTTAGTCAATCAATTCGCGTGGATGGGGTAAATTGCAAAAAAATATATAGTTCAGGGGGGTTTTTTGCACATACCCCAAAAGTTCAAGGGGGTTTTTTGCAACTTTTATAGTTCAGGGGGTTTCTTGCACATACTCAATAGTTCAGGGGGTTTTTTTGCAACTTTTATAGTTCAGGGGGGTTTCTTGCACATACCCCAATAGTTCAGGGGGGTTTAATGCACTTTACCCTAAATTTTTTATAATTGTGAATATATATATATAAAATATGAGATCTTACGATAAATGAGAAAAAAAAAAAAAAAAAAAATCTAGGTAAGATTTATGCGCTTTATTATTAATATTTTGATATCAAGGTTAGGGCTACAAATAAACCAAACAGTTCATGAATTATTCGGAATCGACTCATTTAAAATTTGTGTAAACTTATTCGCTAAGTTTTAACTTGATTTTCGAATTCATCTAGTAAGCAAATCGATAATGAATATTATTTGGCTAGATTTGTGATCACTAAGCAAAAGGCTTGAATGTGTTCATGAATATAGAGCCATAACACCATCACCAATATAAGATTATATAGGGTGGAATAAGATCATCAATTTAAGCTTGCGTATTATTTCATGAACAAACAAAAACAATCTTAAACACAAGTTCAAATTGAATTTAAGCCAAATTTTTTAAATAATAATAAGCTAAATAATATACAGGGTTGCGACGAATAGCAGGACTCAAAAAATACACTTACACATCCGGTTTGTGTTTTTTGGATACTAAAAGTTTTGAACCCCCAACTTTCTACGGAGTACCATTAAACTATAATACCTTTGGTGTCATTATTACATTTATGATGTAGTGCACTGTTACATTTATGATGTAATTGATCAAAAACTCATATTACAATAATGTTACTTTAGACTTAGATGGTAGGAGATATCTAACTCCAATCTATAAATTCACTCGTAAGAAGAGAAATGTAGGAAGAGGTCAACTAAGCCAGTTGACTGAAGTGATAAGAAATTATTATAAAAATATTAAATCTATACATGACTTAAAAAAAAATAATAATTAAAAAAAAATAAAGTTTATGTGGCTGACTCATTTATAAGAAATAAAGACAAAAATAATAATGATTATATAACAATATGTTCATGTAATACATATAACAAGTTATACTTCGCAATTTCACATTATTTGGGAATATTGGATACTTAGAGCTGCCACTTTGACATCCTCCTGTTAATTTAATTTTTAAGTAATTTCTAAAATGAAATTATTGTTTATTACTGTATAATTAAGAAAAAGAATTTCTTTTCCCTCCCAAACCTGATCAAATAGAGATGTATTGTAGGGGTGGGGTACCAATCCCACGGTCCCAACCCGCGTACACGGTGGAGCTATAAAAATATATTAAAAAAAAAAATTGTCAAACATTTTTGTATTAAATGGTGTATATAAGAAAAATATCTAGAATTATATAACAATGTTGATTGGATTAAAAAAGAAAATAAATTAAAGTATGTACAATACTTATCTACTCACTAGTGAGAAACTTATATTTACCACGTATGTGGCGCATTGTTAAACTGACAAGTATCTTTATATTTAAAATAATAAAAAAAATAGATAATTTGATAGCTATCCGGGTTAAATCCAAATGAATCCAAATCAAATTCTGATTCTCTCTCCTCTCCCTCTTTCTCACGCTTCTATCATGTGAAAGCCCTAATATCATTGGTCTCTCTCCCTCTCCCCCTCCCTCTCGCGCACATATTTTTAGAGAGAGAAACTGGGGTCTCCGGAAACTGGAAGAAGAAGAAAAGTAGATGCAGAGTAGGAAAGAGAAGATCAAGAAGTGTTGGAGGTAAGTAACTTATAGCCTGATTGGGAGTTGCACATGAAGAAGAACCACCTAAGTGAAGGATGAAAGGTCCCTCTTGATTAATTTCTGCACTTGTTACTAGTACTGGTCATGACAACATTGCCTGAAATTTTTTGAATGGGAAGTAAGGGATATTAAGTTGATTTGACGTCAAGTGAAGAGTGGCAACAAACTATTACAGAGAAGGAAAAAAAAAAAAAAAACACCTAGAACAAAGAAAAGCATCTCGTGCTTATATGCAATTTGATATCAAAATCACTAAATACCTAAACTCCATAGAGAATTTAAGTGTATAGCTTTAAAAAAAAAAAAAAAAAAAATTATGACCCCTTGCAGGTGCAAGCTGCAAAACATTGGATTCGACATTGTTCTGGACACTCTTGAATTCAACGTCTATCATAATTTATCACCAATTTCCTTCGGTAAAAAAAAAAAAAAAAAAAAAAAAGGAAGCAAAAATAGCATATGTACTAATGACTAGGAAGGTGATACTAGTTAAAAACAAGAACAATCAAATTATGAAAGACCAACCTCATGCCCAATTTTCAGTTTCTTTCTGGCCTTGTGAATTTTTTGAAAGGTTACTTAAAGGTGCTATAGATTCTTGGCTCCTGCCAATAATAAAACACCAGTTTCTCTCTGTAAAAATATGAGCGCGAGAGAGAGAGAAGGGGAGAGGGACCGAACGGATGAGATTAGGGCTTTTATAGGGTAGAAGCATGAGAAAGAGGGAGAGGAGAGAAAATTAGAATTAGAATTTGATTCGGATCCATTTGGATTTAACCCAGATAACTATCAAATTATTTATTTTTTATTATTTTAAATATAAGAAAACTTGTCAGTTTAGTATTGCGTTGCATACGTGGTGAGTATAAATTTCCCACTCACCAATGAGTAGGC